TAGTTGGACTTGACCTGTTGGGTGCTTTCTAGGACAAGGCTAAATATCCAGGTAAGACAGATCTTAGAGGAAGTGAGTACCAAGTCGATAATTTTTTTTTTGTGTAGTAGACTTTTCTTTTTCTTCATAGATTTTGTTTGTTGTGTTATTATAGGTTTGATATTGTTCATGGTGAGGGGGGGGGTGAGAGGACGAGGGTGAAAAATAGGGAAGAGGGATAGGAGAGAGGGAAATACGAAGAGAGAAGAAAGATACGTTATAGGAGGGAAGGAAGACAGGGGAGTTAAAGAGGGAATATAGACAGAGAGAAGGGGCAGAGGAAAGAGAGACAGCGAGGGGAGAACAGGCAGAAAGAGAAGAGAATGCGAGAAATGAGGCAAAAAATCGGAGAAGGTATAAAAAAGGACAGATAGCAACACCGAGGAACAAATATGAGGAGAGACGGAAAATTCAGTGAGATAGACTTGGGAGAGAGAGAAAGAGAGGTTGTAAATATGAGATGGAGAAAGGGTAGAAAGAACAAGGGGAGTGGAGATCGAAAGGGAGACAGAATAAGAAATAAATAGATGTAGAGAAGAGATACGTTGACGAATGCAAACAGACCGATGTTCACGTCACACTTTTATGAAATAGAGAGAAAAACAAAAAACAAATCTATACATTACTGATGTTGTGCAAATCCTCAGCACCTGCACTTCATCTTGCATCTGCATGTTGTCATCTTAGCAAAAGCTGTGCAAGCATCGCTCTTAATCCGAGACCGATAAGTGAGATTGCAACGTTGCAGAAAGAGAGGGAGAGGGGAGAGGGAGAGAGAGAGGGGGAGATGGGGAGATGGGGAGAGAGGGGGAGAGAGAGGGAGAGAGGGGGAGCATGGGGATGGGGAGAGAGGGAGATTGGGGAGAGAGGGGAGATGGGAGATGTGGAGAGATGGGGAGAGAGGGGTGAGAGGAGAGAAAAGGGGGGGAATGGGGTGAAGAAAGGGGGGAGGGGTAGTAAAAGAGGCGGGATAAAAGGAGGAACTTAGAGAGGGGTAGGATTAAGAAGTAGAGACAGAAAGGAGAATGGGGGAGGTGAGAGTGGAGAGAAAAGGAAGAGATAGAGGGGGGAAGGATGGGGATGGGGGATGGAGATAGAAGGAAAGAGAATGGAGAAAGAAGAATGAAAGAATAAATAGGGGAAAGGATGGAGAAAGAGAGGGAGAGGGAAAGAGAAGGGAGAGGGTGATGAAAGAGAGAGAGAAAAAACAGACAAGGGATGGTTAGGGGAGACAGGATAAAAGGGAGATAGAAAGGAAACGAATAAAGAACATAAACAAGACCATGGGAAGAAGGTAAATAATAAGAGAGACAAGGAAGAAAGAACAAGGAAGAAGGGTCGGAGGTGAAATAAAAAGCAAAGGAAAGAAGAAAAAGAAGAAGAAAGAAATAGCGGAAAAGAAATGGGAAAATTAGGAAGAGAGAGAGAGAGAAAAGAGAGAGAGAGAGAGAGAGAGAGAAGAGAGAAAGAGAGAGAAAGAGAGAGAGAAAGAGAGAGAAAGAGAAGAGAAGGAGAGAGAAAGAGAGAAAGCGAGAAAGAGAAGAAGAGAGAAAGAGAGAAAGAAAGAGAAAGAAAAGAAAGAAAGAGAAGAAAGAGAAAGAAAGAGAAAGAGAAAGAAAGAAAGAAAGAGAAAAAAAGAAAAAAAGAGAAAGAAAGAGAAAGAAGAGAAAGAAGAGAAGAAAGAGAAGAAAGAGAAGAAAGAAAGAAAGAGAAAGAAAGAGAAAGAAAGAGAAAGAAAGAGAAAGAAAGAGAAAGAAAGAGAAGAAAGAGAAAGAAAGAGAAAGAGAGAAGAAAGAAAGAAAAGAAAAGAAAGAAAGAGGAAGAAAGAGAAAGAAAAAGAAAGAGAGAAAGAAAGAGAAAGAAAGAGAAAGAAAGAAAGGAAAGAAAGAAGAAAGAAAGAAAGAAAGAAAAGAAAGAAAGAAAAAAGAAAGAAAGAAGAAAGAAAGAAAGAAAGAAGAAAGAAAGAAAGAAAGAAAAGAAGAAAGAAAGAGAGAGAGAGAGAGAGAGAGACTGGGGTGAGGGAGCGAAGAGCGAGAGAGAGCTACCTCCGCCCCCTCCCCCCCACCTTTTCACTTCCCCTCTTCCTCTCCTTCAAGGCGTAAGTCTTCTATCATGCGTTAATCGTATCGGGAAGTGAGTTTTTAATTCCTCCCAAAAATGTCCGTAATTGATAGCCAGAGGAGAAACCGAATCGAGGCGAAGGTGAAGTAATTCGCGATCAGGAAAGAGAATCCGAAAAATGTCTGAAACGCCAGATAGTTGGTTCGATGCCCGGTTGGATCCGCCTCAAACTGGTTCAGCGTGGGAGGGAGGGAGGGGGGGAGAGGGGGAGGAGGGAGAGGACCCACGGAAAAAACCCCCCTTTCCCCCCACCTCGTCTCCTTCCCTCCCTTCTCCCTCCCTCCTCTCCTCCTCCCTCCCTCCCACCTTCCTTCCTTCCGGCACGTCCTCCCAAGCAATCGCTGTATTCTTTTTTTCTCTCTTTATTCCTCCTTTCCTGTTCGATGGGGTGGTAATTTGGTGTGTTGGCGTTAAGTAGAGTAAGTAGAGTAGACCGCCATACATTCTGCTTGAAATGTAGGTGAGGATGAACAGGCAGACTTCCTTTTTCGTGTTGCTCATGTAGGCCGTGCTTGTGTTAAAACCATCGTGGACATTATCACTGTTCTCACGACTTCTACTCGTAACTACAACAGCAGATACCTATGTGTTGTTATTTTTGCCTCTTTTGTTATTACTGATTACTAATTTTACTCGTACTGCTTCTACTTGTGTTACTACAACTTCTACGTCTACTACTGATATTGCTACTACTATTTATACTACTATAACTACTAGTACTTACATGACTAATGTTACTACTCATACTACTACTACTAATACTAGTACCACTACTTATACTAGTTCTAGTACTTGTGCTAGTAATTATATTGTACTACAATACCATTACTATTACTTATGACACTACTATTACTATACTGACATACTACTATTACTTATACTACGACTATTACTTATACTACGACTATTACTTATACTACGACTATTACTAATGCTACGACTATTACTTTCACTGCTATTATTACCAAGTGCGACTTCATCACCCTGAACCTCGGCGCAAATTCTCGAGTCAGAGGAGACGCCCACTGAATCAGGTTGCCATAAGGAGGGTGGACTGTCGCAGGTTCTAAAATTAAAGACCGTTTTGCTAAAGGTCTCAATAGACGCTGTCCCCCTCCTCCCCCTTTTTCTATTAGCGTTTATCAGGGGGAAATTATTTTTATCTTAGGGTGGTTGTAGATAGAATGGGTGTGTGTTCGTTGTTTATCTTAGGGTGGTTGTAGATAGAATGGGTGTGTGTGTTCGTTGTTGTTTTTAAAAAGTTTGTTTGGTCGATGTTGTGGGACTTGAGGTGGGTTTTGGCGGGAAAATCCGTGCGGGGGAATAAGGAGGGTTGTTGCTTTTAGGAATAGGTCCGGTTCTTATTTGTTGGTAATTGTTTTTCTCCCTCTTTTTTTTTTTTTTCTCTCCTTTTCTCTTGATTCTGTCTCTGTCCGTCTCTCTCTGTCTCTCTCTTTCTCTCTGTCTCTCTCTCTCTCTCTCCTCTCCTCTCTCTCTCTCTCTCTCTCTCTCTCTGTCTCTCTCTTCTCTCTCTGTCCTCTCTCTCCTGTCCGCGTCTCTCTCTCTCTCTCTCTCTCTCTCTCTCTCTCTCTGTCTCTCCTCTCTCTCTCTCTCTCTCTCCTCCTCTGTCCGTCTCTCTCATCTCTCTCTGTCCTCTCTCTCTCTCTGTCTTCTCTGTCCGTCTCTCTCTCTCTGTCCGTCTCTCTCTTTCTCTCTCTGTCCGTCTCTCTCTCTCTCTGTCCTTTCTCTCTCTCTCTTCTCTGTCCGTCTCTCTCTTCTCTCTCTCTGTCTCTTCTCTCTCTCTCTCTCTCTCCTCTCTCTCTCTCTCTCTGTCCGTCTCTCTTCTCTCTCTCTCTCCTGTCCGTCTTCTCTCCTCTCTCTCTCTCTCTCTGCTCTCCTCTTCTCTCTCTCTCTCTCTCTCTCTTCTCTCTCTCTCTCTCTCTCTCTCTTCTCTCTTCTCTCCCTCTCTCCTCTCCCTCTCACTCCTCGCTTTCTCGCTCTCACTCCCCCTCAGTATGTGTGTGATACCCAACGTAGTATCCCCGAGCTGGCCTTACGTACTATGCCGTTAGATTATTGGAACAAATGGGCGTCACAGCCTCGGAATTTTGGCACAACAGGAGAGGCTAAATTAGTTCGTCTCGGTAGAGTATACAAAAGTGAATCTGAAAAGAAGAGTATCGTATTTTCATTTATTTGTTTATTGTTGTGATTAGAATGTTTACAAAGGACTGAAGCGAAACTCCAATGAGTCGCAGTTTGAAGCTAGAGTTGATACTGATATTTCCAAACTACAATTTTGCATCAGTGTCAATCATTATCAATATTCGCCTTCGAACATCATCTAACGAGGGGAACGTCGAGGCAACGAACGAACAAGTAGACAAGATCTTTTCCAAAGTTCACAAACCAGTTTTCGTTCGAGAGGGAAAGATGCGGGCGCTCTCTCTAGCATGGTTGGGTGGCAGCGGATAGCTTGTTTTGCTTAGGCTCGCTGACTCCACCTCTATGAATGTAAACGGAGACAATTAAGCCGGTCTGTTCAAGACAGGTTTAGTCTAGGGACTCTCTCGTGTTGGTGGCCGTGCAGTTTGTTTTTGGTTCGGTAATAGGTATCGATTTTTTGTTTTTGTAACGGTCGTTTTCCCTCCGACAGCCAAGATGACCGGCTCAGATCCCCCGCAAGTGGGCACGAACGGGGACGTCGTGCACGAGACCAGGCCCAGCCAGCCCAACGGCGACTCGAAGGAACCCACCACGCTCCTGCTGGCTCTGGAAGACCCTATGCCGGAGGTCGTGCCTGCGGGAGGAGGAGGAGCAGGAGGAGGAGGAACAACAAGAGACGAGGAGAAAGGTACGTACTTGGGGAAAGAAGGTCGGGTCTTGGCGAAGCGTTATCCCTCGCACAACACGTCCAGGAAATTTCTTAGCTCGGTGGTCCCTCTCCCTCCCTCAGGCGGGTGCTGGCAGGTGCGCTTCACCCTGGCCATCCTCTCCCTGCTGGGCATCGTCCTCATGTACGCCATGAGGGTGTGCCTCTCCATCGCCATCGTGGGCATGGTGGGCACGGAGCACCACCACCACGGGGAGCACAACGCCTCGGAGGCTGTCGCGGCGGAGGACGTGTGCCCCTCGCCCGAGCAGACCGGCGGGAAGCCCAAGGAGACCATCGTAAGTGCGCCTCCAGGCTGTTCTCCCTCCCCCTCGACACACTACAGATGATAATAATGATTAGAAACACTAGAAATGTGAGCGCCATGATACATGATCATCAAAGCAGTATTTTTTTCTGAATTATCATCTCCCTCATCCCCATTTTCACTCTATGTAGTGTTGTTGGCAAGACTAAAAAAATAAGGAAGTATACAGACTAGTTTTCTGTATTCCAAGGTTAGATTATCATTATCTAATAATCATATGTATAAGTGTACATGTATGTGTTTATCTTTATACATACAGACATACATGCATCCCTTGTATATATAATATTCGTAAATAAATCAAATATCTGTAATTAGAGTAGATAGATGATTCAGTGGATACATTCACGTCAAATTTCCCGTATTTTCTGAGAGCAAGACGAAGAAACTCAAGCTTATTCATTCATCGGCATCTCCATTCATCCACGCAACCACGTCAATTTGTTCAAATCATCACTTTTTACGTACATGCCAGTCACTCAAGTCCTCCTGTTATACGTACATGCCAGTTATTCGTCATTCTGTTATACGTACATGCCAATCATTCTAGTCCTCGTGTTTTACGTACATGCCAGTCATTCAAGTCTTTCTGTTATACGTACATGCCAGTCATTCAAGTCCTATTTTACGTACATGCCAGTCTTTCAAGTCCTATTTTACGTACATGCCAGTCACTCAAGTCCTCCTGTTATACGTACATGCGTCATTCAAGCCATTCTGTTATACGTACATGCCAGTCACTCAAGTCCTCCTGTTATACGTACATGCCAGTTATTCGTCATTCTGTTATACGTACATGCCAATCATTCTAGTCCTCCATTTTTACGTACATGCCAGTCATTCAAGTCATTCTGTTTTACGTACATGCCAGTCTTTCAAGTCCTATTTTACGTACATGCCAGTTATTCAAGTCATTCTGTTATACGTACATGCCAATTATTCAATTCATCCTGTTCTAACTTCATGCCAACACAGACAGACAGAAGAAACTGAAACATAATATATATGAATAACAATAGTCCACACAAAGAATTCCTCTGAAAAAAGATAAGATATTGAATGTCAAAATGTTGTTTGGGAAATAATTTCTCACACTGATTCTCTCTTTCTCCCCCTCTTTCTCTTCTCCTCCTCGGTCTCCTCCTCTTCTTCTGTTTGTCTTTGTTGCTTGTTTCTTGTTCTTTCTTTATTTTTTTTCTTTCATTACTTTCCTTGTTTTCTTTGTTTTTGTTCTTTGTTTTCATCCTCCCTCTCTCTCTCCCTTTCCCCTCTCGCTCCCCCCCCCCCTCTCTCTCTCTCTCTCTCTCTCTCCCTCTCTCTCTCTCTCTCCTCCCTCTCCCTCCCCTCCCTCTCCCCTACCCCTCCCTCTCCCTACTCCTCCTCTCCCCTACTCCCTCTCTCCTACCCCCCTCTCATCTCTCCTCCCTCTCTCCCCCCCCTTCCGCCTCCCCTTCCGCCCCTCCTGCAGGTCGGAGAGTTCACCTGGGACGAGACCACCCAGGGCATCATCCTGGTTCCTTCTTCTGGGGCTACCTGCACCAACATCCCCGGCGGGAGGCTGGCGGAGTACTTCGGGGGCAAGAGGGTGTTCGGCTTGGGCATCGTGCTCTCTGCGCTGTTCACGGTCCTCACGCCCTCAGCGCTCGGGCGTCCCGGAGCTGTTCATCGCCGTCAGGATCTGCTGCGGCGCCGTGCAGGTGGGTGTGGGGTGGGGGGGTCTCTGGGTGGGGTGTGTGGGTGGGGGGTGTGGGTGGGTGGGGGTGTGGGTGAGTGGGTGTGTGGGTGGGTGGGTGGGGGGGTAGGTGGGTGGTGTGTGGGTGTGGGTAGGTGTGTGTGTAGGTGGGGGTGTGGGTGGGTGGGGTGTGTGGGTGTCTGGGTGGGTGCTGGGTGGGTGGTGTGTTGGGTGGGGTGGTGTGGGTGGTGGTGTGGGTGGGCGGGTGGTGGGTGGTGTGGGTGGGTGGGTGGTGTGGGTGGTCGGTGTCTGGGTGGGTGGTGTGGGTGAGTGGGTGGGGGTGTAGGGTGAGTGGGTAGATGGGTGTAGAGTGAGTGGGTAGGTGGGTGTAGGGTGAGTGGTGGGTGGGGTGTGTGGGTGGGCAGTGTGGGTGGGCGGTGTGGGTGGGCGGTGTAGAGTGGGTGGGTGGTGTGGGTGTAGAGTGAGTGGGTAGATGGGTGTAGGATGAGCGTATGCGTGGGTGGGTATAGGTAGCGGGTGCATCAGAGTGTGACCACATGAATAACTAAAAATTAAATCCTCGAAATGACACGTGGATGCTGAGTAGTTAAAACCAAACGGTTACCCAGCAAATGCACAACATCTTGTCGCCCATTACAGGGAGTGGTCTTCCCGGCCGTGAATTCTATGCTGGCAACCTGGATCCCGCCCTTTGAGAGGAGCAGGTTCAGCACAATTGTTTATTCAGGTAAGAGCTAAGCTAAGAGTAGAGAAAAGATGATGAGGAAAGAGAAATATTGAGAGATTGGAGAGAGCGAGAGAGCGAGAGAGGAGAGAGCGAGAGAGAGAGCGAGAGAGAGCGAGAGAGAGCGAGAGAGAGCGAGAGAGAGCGAGAGAGAGCGAGAGAGAGCGAGAGAGAGAGAGAGAGAGAGAGAGCGAGAGAGAGAGAGAGAGAGAGAGCGAGAGAGCGAGAGAATAATAGTCATATGTATTTTAGAGGTCTTATAAAACACCCATATAATATGGAAAAAAAAGAAAATACACTCGCGCCCTGTCACCTGCAGCACACCTTGGCACCACAGCCAGGGTACTCAGCGCCGCGGGTCAGACACGACAGTCCACAGGGAATACCACAAAATACCCCCATAGTACCACGTACCCCAAGGCCACTTCGCTCACCGTTTGACCCTTTTCACAGTCGCTGTTCTTAAGTACGCACTTTACGTATCTTAAAAAGGCTTGTGTCAACCAGACGCTGTTCTTAAGTACACACTTTTCGTATTTTAAAAAAGCTTGTGTCAACCAATACCTGTTCTTAAGTACGCATTTTTCGTATCTTAAAAAAAAAAGCTTGTACCGGTTCAATGATTTAAAAAACACGCTTTTACTTGAATTTTATTAAAAAACAAGTATCTCAGCTCCTGCATTGTGCCTGGCCTAGATCGGGAATATTCTCCAGGAGCTTCTAAACAATCTCTTTTTGCTTCAATTTAACATCACATCATTAACATAAAGCGAAAAAGAAAGATAAGATCGTTTTAAAAATCGTTAATTTCATGGCTATTTGAACTTAAGCCTTTTACGCACTTTGGAAATGGATAATACTTGCTTAATTAAACTCTCGGAACAGTTATGCTGGGATATTTACGGAATAAAAATTCGCTAGTCACGCTGAATTTGCATAAAAAGAAAACGACGCCGAAATCTTAAACGTAAATTAAACGTAACATCCATATCCTTATTATTGTCATTTGTCATTTATATTTGTTATTATCATTATTATTATTATTATTATCATTATTATTATCATTATCATTATTATTATTATTATTATTATTACATTATTATTATCATTATTATTATTATCATTATTATTATTATTATTATTATTATTATTATTATCATTATTATTATTATTATTATTATTATTATTATTATTATTATTATTATTATTATTATTATTATTATCATTATTATTACATCATATTATTATTATTATTATATTATTATTATCATTATTATTATTATTATTATTATTATTATTATTATTTTATTATTATTATTATTATTATTATTATTATTATTATTATTATTATTATTATATTATATCATCATTATTATTATATTATCATTATTATTATTATTATTATTATTATTTATTATATTCCCACAATGCACAAACTAGTTTGTGCATTGGGGTTTTTCTTCCATATTATCAACACGGTATTGTGTTTTTCATTGCATTATTATTATTATTATTATTATTATTATTATTATTATTATTATTATTATTATCATTATCATTATCATCATTATTATCATTATTATCATTATTATTATTATCATTATTATTATTATTATTTGTAAGTTGTATTTATCAGTCCACGATAATGCACATACCGACACTGACTCATTAGCCAATGTTATTATGGTACATTAGGACTCGAACTGGTATCGCCTCAAAATATTTTCATTCGATTATCTAACGCAAGCATTCCCCCCTCCCCTTCTACCCCCCCCCCCTACAGCACAGTAAGTTACGCAAGCACTCACTCCCCTCCCCCCCCCCTTACAGCACAGTAAGTTACCTCACCTCCCCCCCCCCTTCCCCCCCCCTTACAGCGCAGTAAGTTATTTAAAACTTATAAACCTTGTCCAATAGTGTCCTCAAGCTTGTCAAAAATAGCTGAGGACAGTTTATGGGAGCAAAGGATAATGCAAGATTACGAGTCCGGGGAGAGAGAGAGAGAGAGAGAGAGAGAGAGAGAGAGAGAGAGAGAGAGAGAGAGAGAGAGAGAGAGAGAGAGAGAGAGAGAGAACACACACACACACACACACACACACACACACACACACACACACACACACACACACACACACATACAAGCCCCTAGCTAGCTAGCTTGCTTGTCCGAGGCCTTAACCTAATGACTTACTAACGTTTACAATGGACGTCAAACTACTAATTTTCATTCAGCTTAGACGCTATAATTCATTTACGTTGAGAATATACACCAAAATCACTAATTTACGTTCAAAAGAGACGTCAAACTACTAATTTTCATTCAGCTTAGACGCTAAAACCCACTAATTCACGTTCAGCGGAAACGCCAAAACCCACTAATTTACGTTCAGAGGAGACGCCCAAACCCACCAATTTACGTTCAGAGGAGACGCCCAAACCCACCAATTTACGTTCAGAGGAGACGCCAAAAACCACTAATTTACGTTCCAAAGAGACTCCAAAACCCACTAATTTACGTTCAAAGTTGACGCCAAAACCAGCAATTCACGTTCAATGTTGACACCAAAACCCACTAATTTACGTTCAGAGGAGACGCCAAAAACCCACTAATTTACGTTCAGGGTAGACGGCTATGTCCAAGGTGTAAATGAAACGAGGACACGTGAGGACACGCCAGTCGCCAGAGTCCCAGACCTGCCGTCGTGGTCCGAGTCCGCCGGGAAAGTCATCTTTAGCCTGGTCCCCGAGACTTGCCAAAGACAGTGGCACCGCGTGTAAACAAGATGCCTTGCCATTTTCGTGTGTGTGTGAGTCTGTGTGGGGGTGTGTGTGTCTGTGTGGGTGTGAGTGTAAGGGGGGGGGGGGTTGTGTGGTGTTGTCTGTGGGTGTGTGTGTCTGTGTGGGTGGTGTGTCTGTGTGGATGTGGGCGTAAGGGGGGGGGGTTATGTATGTGTGTGTGTCTGTGTGGGTGGGTGTGTCTGTGTGGATGTGGGCGTAAGGGGGGGGTCTGTGTGTGTGTGTGTGTGTTGTGTGTTGTGTGTGTGTCTGTGTCTGTGTGTGTGTCTGTGTTGTGTCTGTCTGTGTGTGTGTGTGTGTGTGTGTGTGTGTGTGTGTGTGTGTGTGTGTGTGTTGTGTAAAGGGGTGGGAGGGGGTGATTGTGTTAGGGGCTTGTATGTGTGTGTCTGTGCGTGTGTGTGTGGATTTAAGTCGTGTATGCGTAGTTAGTGTGTATGTATGTAGGGGTAATTTTAGTTTCATATATTTGGAATAAATGTGTGTAATAGTATAACGTGGAGGTTTAAGAATAAATGCCTATGTATCTACATTTTTCAAAAAGGGTATACATGAAACTGCAAGGGATTTAACTAAATTTCCGATTAGTTGAGATGAATTTAAAGGGAAATCTGGCTATCGTCGTGTATAAAATAGTGACTGTATGAGAAATATAAACGTGATTTTTCTGTTGATTAAGAAAAAATGGAGATTAATAAGTAGCATTTAGGCCTCCCAGGAATGACTTTCTGTTGACGGGAATGGAAGTAGATTGGTAGGTAAACAGAACGACATTTTTATGTAAAAATGATGCAATACATATTACGTTTAAAATTTAACCCCTGCAAAAAAACTACGGGAATTTCACACATAATTTGAAAACAAAATGCCACGATTCAACATTCACTTTGTATGAATACCATTACCTGCTGGTATGCTTAAGCACGACGGTATAAACCCACGCCTGTGCAGTTAGCCAGGGTGGTAAATAAAGGACTAAACTACGGGAATTTCACACATAATTTGAAAACAAAATGCCACGATTCAACATTCACTTTGTATGAATACCATTACCTGCTGGTATGCTTAAGCACGACGGTATAAATAGATAGTTAAAGAAGCATGTGGCAAAGGCGCAATAGACATAGATCTTGGAATACCTCTTGCTAGGATTATACATGTATTGAAAAGTTCTAATGAGGTAGACTTGTTCTATTGAAAGCTTTTCAGAGCACCAAACTTAAAGTATAGAGTTACTCGAGTTCGTCTGATACACTGGAAGATATTTTCATATTGCATGCATTGCAACATAGTCTTTTAAATGTGGATTCTTTACATCAAGTATGTCACTAGTTCTGGATCTTTAGTTTCCGTAATTGTCATGGTCGTAGAATATTGTACTGTAACAAAATATAGTGTGGTAGAAAAACCCACAATGCACAAACTAGATTATTATTCAATAAAATCTAGTTTGTGCATTGTGGGTTTTTCTACCATAGTATCAGCACGGTAGAGTGTTTTTCCATTCAAAATATAGTACATAAAACCTGTGTAAAACCACGAAATCACGCCATTACGAATATTACTAAAGGAATGTTTATCTCCAAGTAATAAATACCGAGGTAACCTGACAGCAGAAACCCCACCCACAGGCTTCCCTCTGGGCACGGTGCTGTCCCTGCCCGTCGGCGGCTGGCTCTGCTCGTCCACCTTCCTCGGCGGCTGGCCCTCCGTCTTCTACCTCTTCGGCGGGCTCGGCATCCTGTGGGGCGTCTTCTGGTTCGTCCTGATCCACGACCGGCCCGAAGCCCACCCCAGGATCTCGGCCGCGGAGCTGGCGCACATCCAGGCCTTCGCGGGACAGACCAAAAGAGCCGAGGTGAGGTTCGGGCTGTGGCGGGCGTGGGGCAGGGCGGGGCGGACGCGGGGGAGGCGAGGTCAGCAGCAACTC